CTCCATGAATTTTCCAGATTAGATCCCGCAGCTTCCTCAATTTGGTATTAAAGTCACGACGATATCTGAAAAACTCGTGTCAGATTTACAGGTCGAAGGTCTGAGAAAGGCGCGCTCGCTCCTGATGTTGGAATTTCGTGTACGATGCGCGCAATAAAAACAAAAGGTAACATCAAATAATAGAAATACGATCTCTCTAGAGACGTCTAACAATTAAATCGGTCTCATAAATTCCAAGTTGTGACTTAAAGGAGCTTTCGCATACTGCGTGATACAGGGGACGATATAAATCATAAACGAGTTCAACTGAGGTAATAAATTCTCTTTAAATAGAACTATGAAGTATGTAGAAGTTTGGAGGAATTCTCCACATTCTGATACTGGGAATAAGAGTGTACACGTTCCAGTCCCGGCCAAGGGAAATTTGGTACATGGCCGCATTATATTCTGTTAAATGGGAGTAATGTTTTGCTTTTGAACGGTGGAATCGAGCGCAATTGCAATGAAAGCGTGCGTGAACTTTGCATGACTGCTTAACATATTTATTACACGGTAAAGCTTAGTTGAGGGTTAAAGTCTATTAACACAACCCGCTATGGTTTCGCTGCTGCGAGGCATAAATTGATTTACGTTATGGTGTACGCAACGTAAAATTGAAAATGTCACGGCGCACCTGATTGCGGCCGCAGAATAGACTGTGTTCATTAGAGCGTGGGAAATTATGACGACATTGTCTCCTAAAGTTTTCTATAGTTTTAGCTCAAGGTGCTTGTCGCCATCTTTTACTCTTTAGTACTGTTTTCTTAAATGAATTTATTACACAAACGTTACATGAAAGAAGTTCATATACCCCACAAGACTCAATGGCATCGATTTCAACAGGTCATCGGACTTCGTCTTGAGATACTGTGTCCCAAGTAATTGTAGCGAACATTCTAGAATTCTCAAGGTGCCATGAAATATTAGTCATCGGCGATAAACAACGAAGACGGTGTGACGTAATCTTTCAGATAAATATGACGTGTTTGTTCTAGAACATTATAAATTGTAAGTGATAAATAGTAATTACTGTTATAAATTAATCAATTTTAGCACTGTTATAAATTAATTGTTCGTTAATTTGCGAACAAATAAAACCACGCAATTTACGTTACATAATGTTAGTTCTTCCTCTTACGAGGTTTCTATTGAGCTTTCTATAATTTTTTTTCTTATTTCATGGTGCATTCTTGTGAAAAAGATACCTGAATAATTACAAGAGAACTCACTGCTAATTTGAAGTGAGTTCAGGTAATCATTGGAGAATTTATAGAAATAGAAGTACAGTGTGTTGGATTCTTGTCGTATCTCATCAGCTAAAGATCGCTGCCCCCTGAATTTTCATAGTGTGGCAAAGCACAGACTGTCAAACTTCGATCCACATCTGCTACCATTTCATCAATCAATTACGTTAAAAAAACATTAACGCTTTATGAGAAACGTCCAAAGCTGATTATAAAAGTGGATAATTATGTAGACCTAATTATGTTCCTCATTACGTAACTAAGCGGGAAGCAGGTGCAGAAAGCTTATCCGACAATTTTTATACAAAGCGTCAATACAAAAGCAGCTTTTAATTAAGCCAAAAATTAAAAAAAAAAGTTTTAGTAGTCCAGTTAATTGTTTTCGGTCATATAAGCGGAGACCATAATTAAAAGGGTTTTAATTCCTAAATTAACGCATGTGGTATAAATATGAAATTGTGGTTTAGATGAAATAAAAGTTCACAATGCGTGCAAGAGAAAGGGTCAAAAACAGTTAAAAAAAGCAACCCTTTTGTGCAAACTTAGGGTTTATCAACGGGATTCCCCAGTTTTCATTGTTATTATAATTAATAAGGTTTATCTATTATTATCTTTCGTAAATTTACATTTAACGCACGAATGTTCGCCCGACAAAAATTATTACATTTTAATTAAAAGCAAAGCGCACTTTAAAATATCTGTAATTAATTTTATCACTTACTAACTAATCGTGTTACCTCAAATTGCTTTTCATTTTCCAATATTTTCGAAGAGTATTACGAGATTCAAAGCTGTAGATGTAGTTCGCATATAACGTCATGAATTTATTTTTTACACTATTGCGCTCACGAGCCGTTGGGGTTATTAGGGAAAATTAATGAATTGGCCACTCGCCAACGAAATGAGTACCTATTCACTTATAAGGAAATTTATACTGGCTATTAAAAAGAAAACTCATTCTATCAGAATAACGTAATGATAGTTTTCACTTCATTTCCCTTGAAGTCAAAAACTTTAGATCTCTTCGATGACTTTATTAAAATATATCGTTATTGGATTCGCAGCTAAAAGCTATGAAAGTACAGTACAACGCTTGCAAAGATATCCGTAACTCATACGAAGTACGAATCAAATATATGACATTTTATGAAATTGCATAGACTAGAAGGAGACTTCCTTGTGATTCCCTTTAACAAGAAGAACACTTTTAATTGCTACGGTAACGGCGACATTAAAATTGCGGTCAAAGTAATGGTAGGGTAAACTCAAATAATCGAATCATATTTGAGTATTAGAAGGGGTAACTGAAATGGCAAATCCTTCACTTCGACGCTTAATTAGCTTAAATTAACGAAGGGACAACGTTAATATTTATAGAGAAAGTTAAAGCATATATACGTGGAAAATACTTGGTAAAGGATGGGCACTGATGAAAGAGCGATGTCTATTTGGTAATAGTTTAATTAACGTAGTGAGACCAAACAAAAAGCCTTCAAGGTCTGGTCTGTGTACAAATAAAATATGGCGGTTGCAGCAGCATATTGTTCTGTAAACTACAAGGGGGTGTCGTTTCTCTTGGTTGAAATAATGCCGAAGATGAGAGCGAGCCACCCTGTAATGAAAAATTGACGTGTTGTCAACGTAATTTCCGGTTTACGCATTGCAAATATGAGTCGGGACATCCTGTATGTAAAATGTATCGATTAATTTGATAGGACCTGGAGAAATTTCGTGCAAAAGGTCACTGAATGGGAAAAATTATTAAATTGTGACTTTAATGTTAGTTTTTTTATTGCAAATTTATTTATTTATTTTTTATTTACGTATTTTAATGTTTAAGTGGTTAATTGTATTTGTTGTATTTAGTGAGTATCATAAGACTTAGAACGCTTAAATAAGGTAAAAGTTTTATCGAACCAGATGTTTTGTAAAGGCGTTATCGGCCAAATTAGTTGGCTTTATTTTCTGCACACATGTATACATTTTTTTAACAGCTCATACATATTGGATTAAGGGATTTTGCACTTATTTTAGGCGTCACTTCCAGGTATAAATGCGTCATGGAAACAAAGGTTTGCTTCAGAAGGTAAACACCTTGCTTCAATTCTCCGTGCCGCATTGGACACAGTGGCGTATGTCGCCGGCCACAACTGCGGCTGTGCAAACCAGGTAAAGGGAAACTCCACATGACCTGAAGGATGGGGAAGGACCCTAGAAGTCAGACACTGGAAGGTTCTGTGGTCCAAGCTGCCACACGTATGAAAGGCAGTCGGTGCTCTGGACAAGTGTGGCTGCGAGACAAGCTGCGAGATTTTTTCGATATAATTTAGTACCGAACCTTTCATATTTATATGTGAAATATCTCTTCAGTGGGGATAACGCAATCACAGAAGACGTCAGTGAGTACTTGGCGATCTTTCATAGCTTTATACATTTTGTACCTGCGCGCATTAACGACGTACCTTCTGACAATTTTTTTTATTAAATAAAATATTGTTATAAGTTTATACATTAAAACTTTGGAATATCTTGGTTTTCACTGAGTACGACGATTTCAGAAAATGTGGTAGCTTGGTATGGAAGCCTTTCACGCACTTTCGATGCTTGTAGGTTATTTTTGTTACCATAAATGAATTCCCTGACACCAAAGAACATATGCCTAGACACCTTCACGTCCCGACGTGCTATATTTAGTTTTCTTCAAAAATATTACATTTAATCAACCCCACCCCCTCTAAAATCTACCCACACGGAAAATGTCACGTGTTCTTCGGGCCAAATCGTCTAAATGGTTTTAAGGAACAGTTGTACCAAGTGGCACCTTGGTATCACAAAATGCAGTATCTTTCAAGAATTGCCGTTATACCGCTAGTACTACGAGTATTGACTATTTAATTGATGAGATTCTGGGTGGAAAATGTCTACCTATTTTTGATGTTAGTTTTTTATCGCTTGATGGTGGATCTAAATGTTTAGCTAATGCTACGCATAAGGAACGAAATCCCGCAACAAAATCTCAATCCCGGTATTTGCGGGATTGTTAGATGTTAATCCTGCGGGATCCCGGTATTTGCGGGATCCCGCAAAACTTTAAATAAATTGGCTAATAAGCAATTCTGTGCGGTTAACTTCTGTATTAAAATAAATCGCTAATTATCACAATATTTAACAAAAAAGTACCTTCGGCCTAACTTAGAGCTCAAAAAAACCTCAACGGTAAAGCACAAATGGTGAACTTCTAAAGTGCCTCAAAAATCATGGTACATTTTTAACGAAAAAGTTACAATTATTTAAAAAATAACTTCTCCGTTATGCGTTTCATTAACAAAGTAAACAGAGTCGTCCCCTTGGTCGACAAATTCCTCAGTCCCGCAAATCCCGCGGGATCCCGCTCCATTTATGTGCGGGATTAATTCCGCAAAAATGCTGCGGGATCCCGGTATTTCGGGATCCCGCGATCCCGGTATTGCATTCCCTAGCCCTACGCAACTATACTTCGTTCACCCAACAGAAATAGTTAAGCCACTCCTACAAAATTTGGGCCAATGTAAGCAGCAACCAGTTTTACAACCACAAAATTATAAAAAGCGGAAAATTTGAAAAATCAAATTGAAATGTCACTTGCTCAAGACTAATTATGGCGCTATCTCTCTGAACATAACTCGTGGCAAAAATAGTAAAACCTGCAAACTGTTAAATACATGTAAATATGCAACATAAAAACACTGTTTATATTGAGAAAAGTACAAAAAAGTATTATTACAGCAGCACAAAGTTTTGAAATTACAAGTGCACTTGAATATAAACAAAGGTACATAACAATTTAAATCCTGTATCGCTTCACTCGGATTCGGACTCCGTTGATGTCGAGTCATCTCCCACATGAATTACTAATGGCTCCACTACGATGTCCATTAAAATGTCAATTTGCCACATTTTTTCCTCTTCACTTTGAGCATGGCGAATTGCGTTCTTCCAATTTTCAGCAGTAACATGTTCCACTGCTTGTTGAAATAGTGGATGAAGGTCTTTCATTTTAAATGTGGTGTTGTTTCTGGCCACTTCACCTTTTATTTGCGCCCATATCAGTTCAATTGGGTTCAATTCGCAGTGATATGGAGGCAATCGCAGCACGGTACGATTGTGTTCCTTTGCAATTTCATCAACTACATATTTTGGTGTAACAGCTGCCCGTTTCACAAGCTGTAGAAGTTCAGCTCTTACCATATCTTCTTCGTAAGGTATCGATTTGCTTGTTAACCAAGTTTGTATATCAGCTTTTTTCGTACTGGTGTTTGGTATTTTTTCACTTTTCCTGCTATGATATGAAGCGTTGTCCATTATAATCACAGATTGTTCATCAAGATGTGTAACGATTTCCATAAACCACTTTTCAAAAACTTCACTGGTCATTTCTTCGTGATAATCCCCTGTTTTTTTCGATTCAAAACACAGCAAACCTTCCTCGACGAAGCCATCCTCGGACCCTATATGGAGAACAATTTCCTTTGCCCGATGCATCTTTCAATCCAGTTGATAGCCCGTTGATAAATGCCTGTCTTGGAGTGAGAATTGTGGTGTCCTTCCATACTTTGCTTACAGTATGCCCAGCATTCACCCAAGTTTCATCTAGGAAATACAACTTCCTACCTTCTTCACGATATTTTCTAATTTCACGCAAGAACCGACGCTTCCAAGTAATTATTTCGTCCTTTTCCTTAAGAACACTATTGCGTGACCTCTTTTCGAATCTACAATGACAAGTACATAATATACATACACGTAAAGAAAAAAGGTTTACTGACCGAAAACCTATTTCTTTTATTAATTTCCATAAAGTAGTTCGTTTCAAATGGGGTAAGTCTTCGTCTTCGTGTAACACTGCCAAAACTTTACTCAGGGTAGGTGGTTCATTTCTTTCAAAGAAAGAATGAAGCAAACGTCGAAGAATACTTTTAGTTCCGGAATCAATATTGTCCAAAATTGCTCGTGGTCGATAATATTTTTTAGGTGAATGAAGTTCGTGTACCTCTGTATACTCCCGAAGAATCTTGTAGACACTCGGAATGCTTACACCTAAATTACACAATAATAAGTAAAAATGAATGTGCCTAAGATGAAAATTACCTGCTGCTTTAGCCGTAAACTCAACTTTATCCGTTTTAGATACCTCCGGGTTGTCTTCCGAATATGCCTTGAAGATATTTAAAATGCCAGTTTTGTCTTCAACTGAAAAGTGCTTGGCAGAACGTTTTTTCGGTGGAGAGAAAGCAGCACCGGCGACATTCATGTTTGCGTACAACTTTTCTTGATCGCGAATAATATAACCCTAAAAACAGGCATGTAAAAATCGTGTATAAAATTTTATAATTACTCACCTGACTATCTTTAGAATACACCGACGAGTCTTTATAAAGACTATTTTGTGTGAATAAAGGAGATTAATGGCAAATTGACGCAAGTAAAGATGTAAAAACGTAAAAACCGGCAGAAACGCAATAGGCAAGATGACAGATTACCCAATTCGGCCAATTCGCTTTACAAGTGTGATTGTGGCTTCAAAAATTACACCAATAACAATGTCGTATTCAAATGTGGCGGTAATTGTTGAGGAGGGGCTTAACTATTTCTGTTGGGTGAACGAAGTATAGTAAAATGTTCTACAGCACCTTGTTAAAAATATCCAGTATCTATTCTAACCCTATATCCGTCCTGGACTTGTTCGTTCCAGAAATATTCAATCAATTCCGATTTAAATGTACCTACGTAACTATTATATTTGTCACTATGCCTCAAACCAAGTTTTTGCTGTTTTCTCGTAAGAACTAGCTAAATAATAATTTTATCGATCGTAATGTAGTGGTATTAATATTACAAGCACTTTCAAGAGCTTCAAGATAGTCTAGGGGGTGTAATGTACCATCATTTTCAAAAATGGGTAACATTTTGACAATTTTGTTAATATATAACACCATGAACATTTTCATACTTGACGCCACTGTGTGAACTTGTGACATTATAGGGGTAGTATTGGAGAAATATTGGAGGTGAACGGGGGGATCTGGCGAAAATTTGAAGACAGATTAATTACGAATATTTCGACGATTTGAATATTAAGCTATAATTAACAACAATCCTACATATAACTATTCCACTTTGGTTTGGTTCTAGTTTCATGAGGACACCAATATTTGATTGTAACACAGCGTAAAGCTCGTTTCTCCATAGTAACAACCACCGAATGTAGTAATAACACTTCGTTTTAACGTACAGTCACAAAGGAATAGAGCAACTGCAGCGCTTTTGTTCAAATCAAATTTACGTTGAAATCCAAGCACCCCCAAACATCGAAAGTGTCGTTTTGGGAGAACGTACTTCTACTACGTTAAATGTAGCCCTATACACCGAAAATTCCGCATACAATCACTTTTGTTAGTAAACGTACTGTCCCTCTCACACATACCGCAACAAAAGCAAAAGTTAGAAACCACCACCAACATTTTTTTGGAGCCGCGAAAGTTTAATCTTTTTTTCGATCATGATGGAAACAGTGCGAAGCCGCGTCTTCGCAATAATATAAACCAAATATTACACAAGAGAAAATTTTTACTAACAAAATAATGGGAAAGGAAATCACAAGGAAGCATCCAATAACGTGAGTCATACATTGTTTTCACCCCCTGACAAATATTATAACCTGCTTGAAACACGTATGTTCCCCGTTTCACTGGGACCATAACAGTTGAGATCTCAGTCATATAATCTAAAAGTAGGGATAGAAATTTAGGGGACAGCTACTATATAATTTTAGATTACACCTACCTACATATGTGAATAATACACAATTGTCTCATAAATCTCAACGGTATCGTGTTGTAATAAAATAGGGTGTAACTTCCTTAATGAGCGCGGACTAAAAATATTCATTACTTTCCCTGCAGATAGGCGGCGGCGGCGCGCGGAAAAAATTATTTAAGTGAAAGTTTATATTTTTCGACATCTTAAATTAATATCTCGCCGAGTACGGCAGGAGCTCGCACGTTAAATAGGTTCAGTCAATTTTTCGGTCTCTTGAGTTTCGCCTTTTCCTGCCGTTTTTAGTCAGGGTTGTCCGTAATTGATGACGGCAATAAAAAGAATTATAATGTAACTTCGATTGATTTCAAAATCCTTCTTTACGTATAGGCGCGTAAAGAAGAACTTTTAGTGATTCTTGTAAACATGTCTGAAGAAGAAAAACAATTATTACTTTGATTCGAAA